TCAAAGGATAAAAAGAATAAGAAAAAGAAAATAGATAAAAATATTGCGGTTCAAGTTCAATAGAAGAAACAACAGAAGGAACAAAATGACAATGTCTATTTCTTCTGTAAAGCTCCAAGTCATCAGAAGAAGCAAATACGTCAACTATCATGCGTTGCATGCAAAAAAATATATGCTTCTTAACTTTGTTTGTTTTAAGATTAATTTAATGTTTGTACCTAGACACACGTGGTGGATAGATTCTGGTGCCACTACTCACATCAGTGTATCTATGTAAGGTTGCTTCCATTACTGCAAGCCTAGTGAATGTGCCAGATTCATTTATGTTGGCAATGACAAACTAGTGGAGGTGGAAGCAATTGGACCATTTAGATTATTATTAAGAATTGGATATTATTTGAATTTAGAAGAGACTTATGTTACCGTCATTTAGACAGAATTTGAGTTCTATTTTTATATTGGACAAATTTAGTTATTCTTGTTCTTTTAGAAATGGAATATTTAATCTTTTTTTTTATTTCAATATAGTTGGTACTAGTTCTTTATCAGCTCATGATAATCTTTATTTGTTAGATATAATTGTTTTTAATAGTAAATCCTTACATATGGGTATAAGAGGTGTCAAGCATAAATTAACCTATGAGAATTCTATCTCATTATGGCACAAGAGATTAGGTTATATCTCTAAAAGGAGAATAGAGAGACTCGTGTCGAATAATATTCTTAATCTCTTTGATTTTATAGATTTTGACAAATGTGTCAATTGCATTAAGGGAAAATAGACAAACATCAAGAAATTGGGTGTTAACGGGGCTATGGATGTATTAGAGTTTATTCATACAGATATTTGTGGACCATTCCCTATGACTTCTTGGAATAGTCAACAATACTTCATAACATTCATAGATAACTATTCAAGTTATGATTACCTTTATCTCATTCATGAGAAATCACAGTACCTAGATATGTTCAAAAATTTTATGCAAAAGTTAAGAACCAACTCAAGAATTAAGAATGTTAGATTTGAACGTGGTGTGATATTTAGTAGATATAACGGATCAGATGACACGTATAGA